CTTCTGCCTGCTACCTTCCTGTCTCTTCATTCCAGGCTTCTTTGCTTGGTCTTCTCAGCTCAGTTCTACTCTGCCTCTGGACCATGGGTCGGCAAACTAAGGTCCACAGGCCAAATCAGGTCCAATTGCTCTCTGGACGGTCCCATGGACGGTCCCGGAATTGCCGCTTGGAGCAGTGTGATCATTTGGGCTGCGCCATTTTTTTGCATTTTTTTTCCAGGCGCTATTTCCCCCCCCTCCCCACACCACAGTGGCGCCTCCTCCCTCCCTTCTCCTGCCAGAGGAAGGGAGCTGGAGGCTTTGATTAGTGTCAGCCAATCCAAAGCCTTGCCACCCGTGTGCTGAGGCACAGCCCAGACTTGCCACCCGCCCACTGGCCTCTCCATCCATGGCCATGCTGTGGGCATTGTGATGGGGGCATCGCGGGGCTTCGGCTGGAGCTTGGCGTGCCTGCTGGCCCCGCACCTGGTGCCCGGAAAAGCTGGCCCAGAAAGGAGAGGAGCCGTCCCCGGCTCCCAACTGCAGGCAGAGTGGCGGAGGACGTAGGAAAGCAGGGGGAGGGGAGGGGCTGGGGAGAGAAAAGCCACCCTCTGCCACATTGCCTGAGGGGCGGTGAACTGGTCCCCTGCTAAAAAAGTTTGCTGATCCCTGCTCTCGACTGACCCACCTGTGGTTCTGCTCCACAGCTCTGCCCAGTCTCTAATCCTAATCCTGCCAGAACTCCTACTTCCACCTCTCTGCATGCTTCAGAATCTGTGCCTGACTCTCAGTGCTCCATGCCAAATATGAATTAGCACTCAATTTAAAGTCCGATTTCATGTTAAAAAGCATACTAGCAAGAACCTCCTCTAGACTCTTGTTACCATTGATCCTGTTACTATTCATAGGTCACTAAACTGACCTATTCTCATGGACTGGCTGGATGGTGAGGAGTGGTGGGAGGCACCAGCTGGGAATCCCCCAGGGAACCCCCAGGGGAAGAAGGCTCAGAGCCAGGGGATTGGTGGTGGGACAACAATGAGTGGTCAGAGGGAGAAGAGGGAGAAGACTGGGAGGAGGAGGTGTCAGAAGCTTGAAGAGATAACAGGGTTAAGTGAGCAGGAAGAGGCTGGGGCAGAGGCAAGTCCTGATTCAGAGGCTGAAGACGAGACAGAGGAGGTAGATTGCAGAAAGATCTGGGGAATCTCCCCCCCCCCCTTGCAACCAGCTCCCCTCCCCCCTGGTCTCCCAGAACACGCATAGAAATGAAGAGGGAGGAGCAAGGAGAGGAGCCTTAGGCATGTGGGGAAGGAACCAGGGGAGGAGTGGGAAGGTGAGGACTGCAACCCTCTCAACTGCCTCACTGGGGTGAGACCTACTGGGAAGAGTTGCTGGCATCACTAGGTCTGCGCTGTTTTGGTTTCTTGGAATAAGGAGTTCACTGTCCCTGGTGCTTTTTTTTATTGCTGACCTACTCCTGACTCTGGCTCCTGACACCTGTGCTCCTCATAAGAGCATAAGAAGAGCCTGCCGGAACAGGTGCATGGACCCTCTTTAGTCCAGCCTCTCATTCCCACCGTGGCCAACCAGATGCCTGTGGGCACCAGCAAGCAGGACCCAGGCACAAGAGCCCTCGCCCTTCCTGTGGGTTTCAACTGGGCTTCAGAAGCACTGCTTCCTCCAGCTGGGGAGGGAGAGCATAGACATCATGGCTCATAGCTGCTGCTAGCCTTATCCTCCATGAATTTGTCTCATCTTCTTTTAAAGCCATCCAAGTTGGTGGCCATTACTGCTTCCAGAAGGAGGGCAATCCCTGTTTTCTAGTACCTGGTAAATCATTGTTCCCATTTTGCCTTTTGTACCTTTGTATAATCCCCCACCACATCAGCTCCTCAAGTTCCTAACTGCCTGTCCAGATAGCAATGTTGCTTTGATTTGCCTATGATAAAAACCAGAACTACTACAAGATCATGCATTAGATTCTTGAATTCTTACTTTTTTAAAACAGGAAACTGTTATAGGCCAGTTTACTATTGCATCCTGCTCCAGAAGCTAGTGCAAAATAAGCTCTTGTAGCCCAAGTGAACATATGCAGATAGTTGAACGGGAACGGGAGCTTCACAATCTGTTTTGGTGAAAGGGGCAGTGCTTAAAACAAATCTTTGTGAGAACAAACATAGTTACACAACAGTGTCCTTATTTCTGCCTTTAAATGCTTATGTAACGAAATAGGGCCAAATATGTACACATGCACCCTTTATGTCTGAAAAACTCAAGTATTCATAAAATATCTCTGAGCTTGAGATTTCCCCCCTAATTTTTCAAGTCTGCACACACAACAAATCCCATCCTGATCTTTGCCTGCCCTGCCCTGCCCCCACACTGCATCCCATCCCACCCATCCATGGGCAATTGTCAGTCTCACGGTCAAATTTCCAAGATAAGTGAGATTTTTTGTTGACCCTCTGAATGGGTGGCCAGCTCATCACAAAGATTTGTCCATCAACCGAGTAGATTTGTGACAAGGGTGAATAGGCCTCGTTAAGGGACAGAACCCATGACCTTCTAATCCTGCCGCATGTGCGAGAGCATGTGTAGTTCAATGGGCATTAGAGTTGGGTGAACAATTTGGAGGAACATCTGAGCCATTCTAAGGATCAAGGCGTGTTCAAGGCAACCAGGACACAGTTTAAATCTGAGATACTAAGTTAGCTTTCATGTGGCTGCATTTCTTATTTCAGTTTGAAATGCTCCCCAGTGGTCTGTCTCTGTGTGCTACCCATTGCATATCTACATGCCAAGAGAAGCTCTTAAACCCGCTTGGTTTAGAAACTATTTTTAAAGGACAATTATCTGTAAATAACTGCAGACGGTCTTTAACCCAGTCCTTTCCAAACAAGATCACCACTAGTTATCCAATAATTAAAGTTTCAGTAAGTCTTAAGTAAGTACCCACCTACAAAGGAGGCTGCCCGCTGCTTCTCTGCATGATTTGTGCACCATCAGATTCTGCTCAGGCCACAGCTCAGGGTCAGAGCACTTGCTTAACAAGCAAAAGGATCTCAAGTTCAGCCCCTGGTGTCTCCAGGCAGGGCTGGGAAATACAGCTGCCTGGAACCCTGCTCCTTGGATGGTGTTGCTACGTGGGCACCATGCAGGAGCACAGCTGTGGTGTGGGCATTGCGTATGGAAGAGATGCCCAACCTGGGTTTGCTCCCTCTGGGTCTGTGCAGGGCTAAAGCAGCAGCCTCTGTGTGTCTGCTTTCACCTTGTAACTACTCAGCAAGATGCTCAGTGATTGTCAGTGAACTGCTGCTGCCTGGAGTTATGGACATACATCTCTAGTGTAGGTAGGACCTTTTGGTCCTTTTAAGCAGGGCTGCCAACTTTTGAAAGTTAAAAAACCTCTAGTGCATTGGAAGAGTCCAGGGTAGGCAGGGCCAGCCCATCCCTGAGGCAAGGTGAGGCCTTGGGTTGCAGGACCTCCAGGGGCAGCAGATCTGGCCTCCAAGAGAAGCTTTGCCCACTGCGGCCACTGCCACGGGGCAGTGACAGTTGTGGGGTCCTCCTTGGAGGCTGGATCTGTTGTCCCCTCAGCATCCTCCCCCCACTACATGCCATCCCTACAGTGCCCTTTAGGCGAATAGGAGGCGCTGCTGGTCTCCTTCCACCCAAGCTATACATGCTGCATTAATTATACTAGACCAACTCAGAATACTGCCCAGATTCCAAATATCACAAGCACAAAGCAAAAAATGAAAGTGCATCACTCAAACAGGTGAGTCCTGCCATAGGCCTCATGCGCCTTATTATTATAAAAATGTATATCCCATCTTTCCATTCAGACCAGTGGCTTAGATGGCTTACATACAAATTGAAAAGTCCATTCAAAATCTATTAAAATCACTGACACCCCTTTCTTTCTCTCCCTCTCACACACATGCACAGGTTTACTCACAGCACCCTCGTCACTCTCTCAGACTCCCAGCCACCCAAATACGCTGGGCTTTGCCTGCTTTATAGGCAGGAAATGAATTGCCCACAAGGCTGATATAATTATTTATATAGTGCCACCAGCTCTGCGCTGGATTATTTACCCAGGGTGATCTAAGCAGCACTGAGTGCAGAGAAAGAGGGGAAGCATCAGTTTCTGGAAGGGCCACCTATCTAACCACACTTGAAAGGTTTTCAAACTAACCTTAAGTGTTTTCACTGACTGAGTAACCTATGGTTGTAATCAAGTATCACCAGACATCACCAGACATCAAGAGCGCGGATATTTGATGAACATTTGCTAAATATTAGAACATTCTGACAACACTCAGTTTACTTTCAGTGTTGAAATTCACACAGTAGAACATTGAAGAGAAATTCATGATGGCTTCTGGCAAAACAAGCGTGCTCAGTTGTTCCTGAGAGGCTAGGACAAGCCACTGCAGGCTCTAAAGCATTGGTATAGAATGTATTTTGTGTGGTCTGTGCCCCCTGTGAAGTAAATGCTCTACTATAGCCCAGATGGAGCTTGCTGATAATCTTCAAAGGCAGCCACCCACAGAGCACATTAGGGTAGTCGAGTCTGGAGGCTACAAAGGCATGTGTGATGCTGGATGAGTCCGCAGAGAGAGAACGAAGGTCGTAGCCTCTTTGCCAGGTGGAGCTGGCGAGAAGCACCTTTCACTGGGGCAAAACTCAATTGTACAGGTGCAGACTTGGGTCTACGCTGCCTCAAAATTCACCGCCTTGAGGACTTTGCAGTTCTGAAGCCATCCAGGTGTCAAATTCCCTCCAGGCCTCAGGCCCTGCCAGCCACCATTGCCTCGGATTCAGTCAGATCATAAATCTACTCAAATGTGTGCAGTAACTCCAGTTGTTCTTTCTAGTTTATGGCTGTGTAAATCTCATATTATAATATCTCTCTCTCTCTCTCTCTCTCTCTCTCTCTCTCACCCACCCACACCCACACACCCGGTCAACATGATGTTTCTGTATGGATTTTTGAATTTTATTTTCAGCTGATCTGAAATGGTGTCTGGCAGGGAAGAGACCTTGGCCATGTAGGAAGTTTCCCCTGGTGAGGCTCATCCACTACACCCCTTGTTTTTTGACCCCTGTGATGTCCCCAAATGTGGGAAACTTGACTGCCTAATTGGTGCTAGTGCAGACCTACACTTGGGAGACAGCTAAACTGTGAGCCTCTGAGCTGGCAGCCACCAGCAACGTCGTGTGGCATCTGCCTTTGCAATTCCAGACAGGCAGCAATAGTAGGTTTACTGTAGCAGTGTAATTAAACCTGGGCAACAGGAGAATCAGCTGTGGGTGCAATATGAATGTGAATGAGAAATCAGTATAAAAAATGCATAACATGTTGACATTATGGCAGGGGAACTACTGTTGACTTAAATACTGTTTCCTTTTCTGTGTGAAATTGTCAAGCATATTTTCAAGATGGTGGAGGAAAAGCCAGTTTGCTTGGAGGCTCAATAAGGGCAGCCAAGGCAGTGTTGTTGCAGTTTCTCATTGGCTAGCAACCCGGTCAACTGCAGAGTATTGCTAGTGTGCATTGGGGAGGGGGAGAAGTAAATCAAGAACAGGTTACATTGTGAAGCAACAGCAAACAGGTTTTCTGCACTGACACATCTGAGCAGAAGTAGTCTCCTCTGAGCAGAATTGAGCCCATTATTCCAACAGATTTCACTTCTCAGCAACCTAAAATACCCATAATGTCCCAAACTGTCTATTTAGCACCAATAGTACAAATATGTCTAGGTTTATTTCATCCTACAATTTTTATTTTTGGTTTATATTTGTTTATTTTATGTTTGTGAAGAAAGGAACAGGGGTGGTAGGGGTGAAATCAGAAATGTCTGTTCTTTGCACTGTGGAATTTTGTTGTACGTCTCCAGTTGATCTCTATTACTGTCAACTGCTTGTGGGGACCAGGGAATGTTTGTAAGAGGTATCCTAATCCAGTGGCTTCATCATATGAGCCACTTTGCTTCTAGGTCACATCACTGCAAGCTCAACTCTAAACTCTGGTTTTCTCCTTCTAACTAACCTCCAGCTGGGAGAGGGCCCCCCTCTCACACAGACCCCCTTTCCTTTGTTACCCATCGCTCAGGCTATCCCCTCCACACAGGAAGCTAGCCTGGCTTATATTTTAGCAATTGCTGGATCCAGGGGTTAGAAGGGTCTCAATTCCCCCCCCCCCTGCAAGTCATAACCACAGGAAACAAGTGGAGGAAGGCAGGGTGGGGCAAGGCCATGGAAAATGTAAGCACCTGAGTCGTTAAGGGTCAAACTATTGGTTATGCGAAATATGTGGCATGCAGTTATTTATGTATTTGGGTGGGGTTTTTTTAAAAAAATAAAATAGATATGGGGACAATGGTTATTGAGCAGCATTGTGTCAGGATGAGAGGTTTATCCATAGAATCATAGAATCCTAGAGTTGGAAGAGACCACAAGGGCCATCGAGTCCAACCCCCTGCCAAGCAGGAAACACCATCAGAGCACTCCTGACATATGGTTGTCAAGCCTCTGCTTAAAGACCTCCAAAGAAGGAGACTCCACCACACTCCTTGGCAGCAAATTCCACTGTCAAACAGCTCTTACTGTCCGGAAGTTCTTCCTAATGTTTAGGTGGAATCTTCTTTCTTGTAGTTTGGATCCATTGCTCCGTGTCCGCTTCTCTGGAGCAGCAGAAAACAACCTTTCTCCCTCCTCTATGTGACATCCTTTTCTATATTTGAACATGGCTATCATATCACCCCTTAACCTCCTCTTCTCCAGGCTAAACATGCCCAGCTCCCTTAGCCGTTCCTCATAAGGCATCCCCTTCCTATCGAGCCACAATTTGGACAAAATCACCCTCCCCACCCAGCATGATGATGAAACACAGAAAACATTCCCACTGGTTTCCGCCAGTGCCCACTGCACCCCCAATGGTAGCTGGAAAATAAATAAATATCCCCTCCCGACACATGGCAGCCCCAGTAACAATTGTTCCCTCGTGACAATTTTATTATTATTATTATTAAAGATTTTATTGGTTTACAAGAGCACATACATTGTTTCTTTTTTCAGATTGTAAAGTCTTTTCTACAGATCAGTTACATTTGATATGAGACATTAGTGTTGTGTACAGTATAAGGTCAGGGAAGTAGAGAGGGGGGAGAGGAGGGGCAGTGAAACTTCTAGTTTTAATCTATTTTAGTGTTTTAACTTTTATATGGTTTAAAGCAGGATTGTGATTTTTTCTTGATTTTACTGTTTTGTCTTTTGCTTTGAGTTTTATTTAACAACCAAGTGGTGAATACATCTTATGAAATAAATAGTTACACGTGACACATTCAACATCATGGGTGTTTTGGACTGAGCCAAGCAGGTGATTAAAATGCTCTTTGTGCAAGGCCTGGCCTCCTTCCGGAGGAAAGGTGGGATAAAAATTTAATTATTTATATTATTATTAATGATACATGTGTAGCTGAATGGGAGTGGAGAATACAGTAAGCCCACAATTTACACGGGGGCTTACATGCCGGGGATCATGACCAGGGGTCAGCAAAGTTTACCTCGCCTGGGCCAGTTCACTCCAGTGGAGATCCCTCCCTAGGCCGGATCACGCTCCCCCCCTCCGATTTCCGGTGTCTGCATAGACGCGATTTCCACTGCCGCGGAAGCGAGTCCCCGTGTTGTGTTGCCCCGGTTTAGCGCAGCGTGCAGGGACTCACCGAGTGAACAGCTCAGTTCGGGGGTGGCTCGGGGGCTGGTTAAATCACCCCCGTGGGCCGTTTGTGGCCCATGGGCCTTAGGCTGCCGACCCCTGATCATGACTAAAGAAAAAATCATGTATAGTTACAACAAATTGGTGGGAAGGTGGTTGTTGCTGTTGCCAAATACTCCCCCCCCCCCGATGCCTGTCCCCTTTTTGCCCCCTTTAATTTTATTTATTTATTTATTTTGTTACGCATGTATAGGATGTAAGTTTCAGGCTTACTTACTGAGGTGTAAGGTTGACTGTAGCACTTTAGACAGCAGGTGTGGGGAACCACATTTCTAGACAGCAGATAGCAGGCTGGGTTTAAATCTTTCTACTAGGTAGATTAATATTTTACATAGAGAAGTATTATTGGCAGCCCCCCACAAAAACTTTAAGAAAAAAGATGATGCCCACCCCCCACCCCAGCAGCCTAAACTACATTCTATTAGGGAAGACTTTGGTAGCGCTCTGTCTTGGGCCAAAATCCCCCCCCTGCCTTCTGTTCTGCTCAGTTCACCACATCACAGCTCAGCGCCTAGCGTAGGGGAACTGGTCATGCTGCCCTCCGTCTGCCTCTGATTCTAATCCATGTTCAATAGCAGTACAGCTCGGGATTGACGGCCCTGCAGAAGTCTGAGCATCTCTCCAGTAAAAGTATGAATGTAGTTTTTTTGAAAAAAGATTGCCATTTCTACTGACTGCAACGCGCACTCTATTTCCTGAAGTATCCTGCAGCTCAGATCACAAGCTAGTCCCCAAAATGTGTGCCAACAACTTCTGAACACCCATGCCTAACTAGCACAATTCAGCTGTTCCTGTTGGGGAAACAACACTGTCGAAGCTTGTTAGAGAGCAAGAAAGGATTCTCGTGCGGAGTGGAAATGCTTTCACAAAGCCTAGTTTATACAGCTGTGACTAATTTTCACACTAGTAGTAAAAACACACACACAAAAACACATCCCAGTAGCAGACTCCTCTTCTGTCCTTTTCTTTGGCCCTTGGTTATTATTTATGTTTCCTTCTTGTACTGTGACTTTTGGTTCCTCTTCTTTCTTCTGCTAGATTGTGGCTTGGATTCCCTCCCATCTCTCCGCTGGGTCCCATTTTTGCTCTCCTCCTGCACGGTTCCTTTTGTAGTAGCGTGGAGTTGTCAGATATATGGATAGAGTTGATATACCCCCAAAATTGTCTTTCCCTTAGACAAGGGCATAGCATGGGGATGCCAGGGATGTTGTGGACACAGGCACACAATTTTGAGGAGGCACAACCAGGCACTCCCACGCAGGTGGCCAAGGGAGGCAGGCAAGGGGCAAGTCAGAGAAGAGGCAGCAGCCCTTCCAGCGAGACCAGCAGGGATGTCCGTCCATGTCCCTGCCTCCTATCATGCCATCACCTGCTGCCCCCCCCAACTCAAGCTCAGGAATCAGCAACAGACATCTCCGCCAGCCTGGGGGCTTCCAAAAAGGTGGTGATGATGAGACCCCTTGCCTCAGCCAAGCCGCCTCGGAAAGCTTGCAGGGTTTCTCTGGAGCCCCCAGTGCCTTTTCCAGCTCTTGGCCCAGCACCTCTCTTCTGCGGCAGCTGCCACGCAACAGAGCTGCCCCAATCAGGACACCCCCCCACAACAGCTGCCCCAGCCTTGGGGGCACTTCAGCCTCCAGCATAAGGCCACTCAGACCTGGGACTGCCAGGCTCGGGCATGTGTTCCTGCGCAAGTGTTTGCAAGGAAGGCCATGTTGCGTTTATCGTTTAGCCTGCCCCCAACTCAGCAGCAAGGGCTGGGCTGGCAGGGCGGCCCCATTCACCCTCTGTGCCCCACCCCCGGCATGCCCTGCCTCCTGGTGCATGCATGCGCCCCTGGCAACCCATGAAATGCTCCTGTAGTTAAGACACAAATTAGGTGCATTATACCACACTAACAGTGGGAATTCCACAGCACAGCACTTGGCCTTGCAGCTTTAGAATGCTTTGGATAGGGGAGAAGCCAAAATGAGAGGATTGCTTTAATGGCTATTGACATTACAGCATCTCTTAATTCCTATGTGAGCATTCCATGCTCTGGTAACAGGACAGCCTTTGTTCTGGGTATCAGATCTCTAGGAAGTAAAATCTGGTGGGGCTTAAGTCAGGGTCTTTTTTGTGATGGCACCACAACCGTGAAATGCTTCTTCCATGGAGGCCTGAGAAGCCATATGTTAGCTTTCGGTGATAGTTGGGGAGCAAAGCAGTTTTGCTCTTTTTAAAAAAGCTTTCAATTCTTAATTTTTGTTTCTTAGTTTTTGCTGCAGCTTCCTTGATAGGTAAATTGGAAGCTTCTCTCTTTGTGGATTGTTTGTATAGGCTACTGTGATATAATTGAATGGCATGTGTACTTTGAATGTTTTGAATGTTGTATTCCGCCCTGGGTGTTTCTTAAAAGAAAA